TTGTCTTTCCAGAGAACTGACCTAAGAAAGATTTTCTGTATTGGTTTTCTATTCTTTTTACTTTTTAAAAATTTTTACTCAAATCTGTATTATTTCCTTCCTCTCTCTTGCTTCAGTTTTAGTTTACTCTTAAGATGGAATAAAGGTAGGCTATTGATCTGAGATCTTTCTTCTTTTTAAATACAGACATATAAATGTCCCACAAACAGTGCTTTAGTTGCATTCTGTAAGTTACAAACTCTTGTACTTTTATTTTCATTAATATCAAAATATTTTCTCATTTCCTGTGTTATTTCTGCTGCTACTTACTAATATTTTGGGACTGTGTTCCTGCTACATAGTTTTGAGTTTTCCAAAGGTACTTTGTCACTAATTTTATCCCATTGTGATTTGCAAATGTATCTTGTATGAATTCAATTCTTTTTTTCTTTCTTCTTCCTTGTTGTTCTCCCTTTTACCTCCATCCTCCTCATCCATCTTCTCCTCTTCCTCCTCTTCCTTCTCCTCCTTTTCCTCCTTCTTCTTTTCCTCCACCTCTTCTTTCTTCCTTCTTCCTTTTTTTTGGTGCTGGTGATCTAACTAGGAAATTATGGATGCAAGGTAAAAACTCTACAAGTGAGCTACATTCTGGATTATGAATTAACTTCTTTTAAATTTGTTTTCTTTTCTTTTCTACTGGTAATGGGGCTTGAAATGGGGTTTGAACTCTGGGCCCAGGCACTGTCTCTGAGCTTTTTTGCTCAAGGCTAGTGCTTTCCCACCCAAGACACAGCTCTTCTTTTGGCCTTTTAAGGATAAGAAAGAGTCCCACTGACTTTTCCTTCCTAGGTTGGCTTTGAACTCTGATCTTCAGATCTCAGCTTTGCAAGTAGCTAAGATTACAGATGTGAGGGACTGGTGCCCGGCAACTTTTTTCAAATTTATTTTAAAAGAGAATTCCTAGAGTATGCCTCATACGCCCTCAAGAAGATTAACTATTTTTGTTGTTACTAGTTGAGTTGTCACTGAATTATGGATACATTTGGCTTATAGTGTCATTCAAATATCTTATTATTTATCTTCTATTTACTTGTTTCATCTACTATTTATACTTTCCTACTGAAGTTTCCTATTATCATTCTTAATATTATTTTTTCTTGGGTTATTTATTTCTTCTTTCAAAGCTTTTTTTTCCTTTTCAAATTTTGTCATTTCTGTCAGGTAACATATATGCTTATAACTTTTATGTCTTTATAATACCTTGAGCCTTTTTGATTTAAAAAAAAAATCTCTTTTCTCACGGGGGGGGGGGGGGGGGGGGGGGGGCGGGGCGGTGGCTCACGCCTGTAATCCTAGCTACTCAGGAGGCTGAGATCTGAGGATCATGGTTCAAAGCCAGTCCAGGCAAAAGCCCGTGAGACTCTTATCTACAATAAACCACTAGAAAACAGGAAGCGGTGCTGTGGCTCAAGCAGTAGAGCTCTCGCCTTGAGCTGAAGAGCTCAGGGCTAGTGCCCAAGCCCAGAATTCAAGCCCTACGACTGCCAAAAAAAACCCAAACAAACAAACAAAAAACTCTTTTCTCTAGCAATTATAAAATCCAGTACTAATTGGGCCACTTTAGCTTTCTTATAGCTGCTGTTTGAATTATATATCTTTTCTATATTTTTATTTTAAACCTATTTGTATTTCTGAATCTAAAGTCTGCTATTAGGCCTCTTTCAGTTGTTTGGCACAAATAATCATTTAACCCATGGACAATGTTGTCTCTAATACATGAGTGACATGATATCAATATTTGTAATTTATTTAATTATTGTTATTAATGTTTACTTAATATCCACACATCTCATGTTAAAGTTTTGAATAATGTGATGATGCTTCAGAATGTTAGGCATATATTCATATGTACATAGCTTTTGACCTCTGCTGCTTGTCCTGGACATATATTAGTTATTGCAGATACGGGAAACCATGGGACCTATGTTTCTTTGGGCCTGGCTTACTTCACTTACTATGATTTTTCCAAGTCTTTCCATTTCCTAACAAATGAGATAGTGTCATTCTTTCTGATGGAGGCATAGAATTCCATTGTGTATATATATAAAACATTTTCTTGATCCATTCATCTACTGAAGAGCATCTGGGTTGGTTCCATATCTTAGCTATGGTGAATAATGCTGCGATAAACATAGTTGTGCTGGTAGCTTTAGTACGGCCTTGTTTATGATTGTGTAAGATGATGCTAAGCGAAATGAACACCAAGATAAGGACATGAGAGGTTTTCTCTTTCTTGCTGTTGTTTTGAATGTACTTATAATGTACTATGTGATATGGTATACCCCCTGTTTTCGCTGTATTTGATTCTGGTGTCCTTCAACTTGTATATACATTTTTCTACTTTGGGGAGGGGAAGGGAAATAACAAGATGCTGAAATAAGGATACAGGTTGACCCACTATAACAATGAGATGTACAAGATACTATGTTGAAAAAGAACTTTACAACTTTGGGCTGGGGAGGGAGGAGTTGGGGAAGTGTGGAGGGCAGGGATGGTAGGGGAAAAACAAAGGAGGGGGTAACAATGCTCGATAGGAAATGTACTCATTACCTTACTCATGTAACTGTAATTGTATCTTTTCAATAAAAATATATATTATAAAAAAAGAAAAAAGAGTGTTAGGCATAATCTTTACTTTTAGGAAATTTAAAATACAATGTAAAGAGTTTATCATCTTAGTTATTCTTATGGTATGAGAACTCTAGAGGATAAAGTATAATTATATTTATTTTGTAGTGAGAATAGAGCTATTATAAACTTAAGTTTGAAATTGTCTCTCTTAATACAGTCACCTTCAATCCCAATGAAAAACTGAAATTAGTAAAAGTTTACTAATTCAATTTCTATAAAATTTTGACAAAAATGAAGGCTGCCAGATAATCCCAGGTTTCCTGACAATATATACCTGGAAATTGCATTGTAAAGCAGGGGAAAACTTTTGGCTATTGTACAGTCCAACATATATATTTTAAAACATCATTTAGTACTCTTGTAAGAGAACTAACACGGTGTACACATAGGTTGCAGGAAAGGAAACTCATTTCTAAAAATGATTCAACAGCAGCTAGAATTACCGAATAAGGACATGAATGAATGAATGTGTCAACCAGATGAAATATGAAGTGTGAGCTTTTTAGATAGTTTGTGCAATGAAAGCCTTAACAAAATTTAAAGTAGCAAAATGTAGAAAATGTCAGATACACTGACTGCTGGTTTGTACAGAAGACTTCTTGGGTGTCAAGCCCTCTTCTAATAGCTTTACATGTAAAACAAAGATTAGATTGTCAAATCAGATTAGAGTGAATTGGAGTTGTTATCCAGTGTTAAACTTTATTTACAATTTTAAGAATATAAGCAATAATAAGGACATGTAAAACAAAGAGTGGTTCTGAATGTTGAGAAAGGTTACTGGATTTTCCCTTTTATGATAGACAACACTGTCAAACCCAGACTAGTAGATAATATCCTTTATGAAAGACTTGAGTTGTCTATTACAACACAGCATTATTGACTCCATTACTCCATTATATTATTGATTCTAATAACTCCATTTTCAACCTGGATTGTTACATGGTTCATGCCATGCATATCTCTTCCTCTACCTATAGGTTTTAGGCTTATCCTAGTAATCTGAAATAAGAATTTTCATGCCAAAAGCTTTTATAGACAGTTATGCATTCCTCTTAAAGAAAATGCCAATAGGATATTTGCCAACCATTAGCATATCTATAAGGAAATTAAACTAGATTTTGTGCTTTCTTTAAAAATTATTTTATTATCTTAAAATAGTTGTATGAAGAGGTTTAATTCATCATGTCAGTTTATGAATGTATCATGCTCAGTGTTACCCCTCCCATCATTCTTTCTCCCTCCCATCTATCCCAACCTCAATAGTTTCCTAGTTCCATTTTCACATGTGTACATTGAATATTATACCTGTATCTGCTCACCATCCCTTTCTCCATTCATCTGCCTCCGTCCCCTAAAGTCCTACCCCTGAGCCATGACATGTCTTAGCTTTCTAGTATTCATACTGTTAATAACCCTCCTTACTCCTTCATAAGCTGTCTGTTAATTGTTCAGAGGAGTGAAAATCTTCCTTTGTATATACTATACTTTAGTCAGTTTGATTGTATATATATGTAAATGGCCCATATATTTATTTGCAAATGATAAAATGTTGTTGTTCTAGATATATTCATAAAATTCCGTTGTATATCATATTATACATACATATATAGATATATCTATATAATAGTTATATCTACATATATCAGGTATATGTATGTATGTATGTTTGTTATTTTTGTGGTTTCTATTTTTTTTCAGAGAGTCAACTTATGAGAGAAAAGTACTGCTTTACTTTCTTCCCTAACAAATTGACTCAATTTGTTCAAATTTAATTTTTTTGGGTTTGAAGACAATGAAATACACTGACAAGGAATTTAGTTGTTTTGTTTTTTAAATCTTTATTTCATTTTGTTTGTTTTAACTTGGTTAGTAGGAGCTTAGGAGAGAAATTGGCAATATAAACAGAATATATATGGTGTTTATTAACAGCAGCTATCTTGCTTTCTGTACCTTTTGACTTGTTTGTAAGTGAGACAAAGGGTGAACTCACTACACAACGCTGACAATGAAATATACTAATTGTGGAGGAGGTATTGGAAGGAATAGCTGTGGGAAAGTGAGGAATGGGATGACACTGTTAAAAAAGAAATATACTTATTACTTGGCTTATGTCACTGTAACCCCTTTTTATATCTCCTTGACAGTAACAATAAAAATAAATATATTCTCATCACCAACAGATATCTCCATAATTTATTGTGTTAATTTGTGCATATACCTGCATATATAATTTTTATGTAATTTTCATTACATAATGAAATATTTGAGAAATCATATGGTGGTTTAATGTTTAATATCCTCTGCTTTTCCCAATCCAATCTTCACATCAGGATGGAGATCCAGTTCGTCCAGGAGTGGCTATGACTGATCTGGCTACTGGCCTGTATGCTTACGGAGCCATCATGGCCGGACTGATACAGAGATACAGAACTGGAAGAGGACTGTTCATCGATTGTAATCTGCTATCTTCTCAGGTACATTTGAGATGATCATGTAAAAACATTTGTTTGGGTGATACCTTCTTAGATTAAATCCTCCTCCTCTGCCTCCTCTTCCTTCAATTCTTCTTCCTCCTCCTCCATTTCTTTCTCTTCCTCCTCCTGCTCCTCCTCTTGCTCCTCCTTCTCTTGCTCTTTTTCCTCCTCCTCCTTTTTAATTTTTTTGGTATTCAAGTGAACTCAGGATCTCAAACTCTTTTATTTTTTCCATTCAAGGCTGGTGGACTACTACTTAAGGCACACCTCCACTCCCAGCTTTTTACTGGTTAATCAGAGATAAATCTTACTGCTTTGTCTTCCCAGGCTGTCTTTGAACCTTGATCCTCAGATCTCACCCTTCTGAGTAGCCTGGATTATAATTGTAAGCCACAAACGTCCAGCTCTGTAACTTCTTTTTACTTGAGTGTCTTCACCTCTGTGTGTGTGCATGTATTCATACGTGCCAGGGACTCTCTTGGTAGTCTGGTAGTGTTTACCTTGGAATGATTCTTTTAAATTTATAAAATGGAGAAATTAGGATCCCAAAGTAAGATCATTTCTGTGTTATCACATATGTATTCAATGTTTATTCACATGTTAATCACTAGATATAAAAGGGAGTCTAATACTATTATTCTGAACATAAATGATATTTTAAGAAATCTTCAATAACAAATATATGAAAAGATGTTTAATATTTGTTGGTGATCAAATCAGAGATACTGCTAAAAATAATTTGAAAGATGTTTAATATTTGTTGGTGATCAAATCAGAGATACTGCTAAAAATAATTTGAAGTTTTGTTGTCTACGTGCATAACTGAAGAAAATGCTGAATTTTAGTTAGAGATTGATGGAAATAAAGATACACACAATATATGTATATATGTGTGTGTGTGTGTGTGTGTGTGTGTGTGTGTGTGTGTGTGTCTACTCAATTAACTCTCACAATTCTATGACTCCAGATGAAGAAATCCTAGTTTAGATAGTTCTCATTTATATTGTAGTAAATACTAAGCTAGTGGATTAAAAGGGTTAAGTCACTTTCAACATGACATTTTGCCTCCTTTTTTTTTTTTTTTTAAAAAAAAAACTGGATCTGAACCAGATGCTGTACCATATGTGGAAGTTGATTCTGAATAGATAATTTTTCAAGGATAGAAAAAAGAAAATATCTAATTTGTGCAAGGAGACATTTTACTGTGGGAAAAATTACTTTCTAGACATAGAGACCTCAGTTGGGAATTTCAGACTTAAATGGCATACATGGGAAAATAGTATACTTGGAACACTGCTTTGGAGATTGTTTTTTCTCTTAGGCAAAATTAAGGAGGTGTATAGAAATTTTCAAAAAGCATCAGAATGGCTGAAGGTGATATACTATGTATGAGTTTTTTTTAACAGCCTCTTTGAGTCATATAATTTTAGTGGTATAATAGAAAGATCAAAGATCTCTCCTCAAAGGAGTGATCTTGCTCCTTCAGGGAGAATCACAGATGCTAGATATGGGAAGTTGCTGTATGTGTGTACTTTCCTTTCCTAATTTTTTAGCTGTGAAAACCCTGAGGTAGGTTGAGACACTGGATAAAAGTTACAAATCCAAGCCAGGCACCAGTGACTCATGTCTGTAATCCTAGCTATTCACGGGTCTGAGAACTGAGGACTACAGTTCAAAGTTAGCCTGGGCAGGAAAGACCATGAGACTTTTATCTCTAGTTACCAAGAAGTGAAGTTGTGGCTCAGGTAGTAGAGTGCTAGCTTCGAGCAAAAATGCTCAGGACAGCACCCAGGAGTTCAAGCCCCAGGACCACCCTCCCCATCACACCAAAATTGCATATTGCCACAATTATTTGATTATCATATAACTTCATAGTAGGGATACCATAGTTAACTTTGTCTTTCACTTTAAGATAACATCTATACATTCTAGATCCAAAATCCAATAAAAATGATGAAAATCTGCTGTATATAAACAAGAGATGCTACTTTTAGAAACTTTTCAAAGGAAACCAGTTTTTTAAAAAATATTTTATCTTAAAAAACATAAATGTTTACCTGCATTAAGTATGTTACACTTGCACTTAATTTCAGCTGCCTGGAAAAAGACTGAGATTTCATGCAGTGGTAAAAACAGGCTTTTCTATTTGTTTTGATTGGATTGTATAGGATAATGAATGATTATTACATTCAATGTCAGTTACTAAAAATGAAATTTTGTACTGTTCTTAAAAGCAATCTCGTGTACAATAGACAAATTATACTTGATTTCATAGTAGCTAATTATTAGCTGAGAGATGATTGCATTGACCACAACAAAACCATTTTAAGTTGTTCATTGTGGAGACATAAGAATTGCCGGGATGTGGTTTGTAGTGGGCACCATTTTCTTTTTGTAGTTTCAAGGCTATAAACTTTTAACCTTTGTCATAAAATTCTTTTGATTTTCTTCTAGTCTTAATATGATTTAAAGCTGTTCATCCAAGATTGTCTAATGTCAGCATCTAAACAGTGTTCTCAGATGCTATTGGTAAATAACTAGGAAGTGGGTTTGGACGTGGTTCCAATTATTCTGTTGCTCTTACTCTTCTGTTGTGGCTTACAGAAATATCTTTGGGAAGTTCCAGTATCCTTCCTGTTCTTAATTGTACCCAGGATCCCTTAATTATACGACAATAAGTTCATTTGTTAACACCATAATTATTTTCACATATAGAGACTTTTGTCATTTCTGATGGCACTGTTCTTTTGCCATACTTGCATATTGTTCTAAATGTACATGAGCCTATTAGGTAGGGTAGAACAAACTATTAACTCATATTGTTTTAGCATATTTTTGTCAAAAAAGTTCTAAATCTCAAAACAAATATAGTTATTTGAAATTCATCTTTCTGTGTCTTTAGATACACCTTTGTTTCTGCTTTTTCTTTTTATTTATATCCTTTTAGATAATAATTTTATTGATAAAGGAAACTGATGGGAGAAGGCTGGAGTGTATTATTTACATTGTTGGGAATGCCACAATGAAATTCTCCCATGAATAGCTAATTATCTTATTAAAATAAAAGTGACTTTATTGAGGAATATATTACATATAAACTTTATACTATGTAGGTGACAACTTGATTTTTAAAAAGTTTAGTGCGTTACATAACCATCACTCTAAATCAGTGTTTGAAATGACTATTCAGTCACCTCTGGTCTGGAATTTACCTATGGAAGCCCGAGTGGACATTTTTTTTTTTATTGTAAAGATACTGTACAGAGGGATTACAGTTACATGAGTAAGGTAATGAGTACATTTCCTATCAAGCATTGTTACCTCCTTCTGTGTTTTTCCTCTACCATCCCTTGCCTTCCCACCTCCCCAACTCCCTGCTTCCTTCCACAAGTTATAAAGTTCATTTTCAACATAGTGTCTTGTATGCTGAGTAGACATTTTGAATGGGGGAGAATTTAGGATTAGATTCTCTTAGACAATTTAGAAGTCATTATGATTTCTATGGGCCCTAGGCATTTTTTCATTGTGGATTCTTTTATTTATGAAATCAATAAAATTATTTTGTATGGATTTAAAGATGAGAATAATTATTATATAATTCATTATAATTAAATTCACTTTCCTTCTTACTTTAAAAGAAATTAAAATTAAAGTATTTTGTATACTGTAAAGTAATGTGAGGATTAGGTACTGTGCTTATAGTATCTACTTGATAAGACAGCTCTGGAAGAATTACAACAATAGTTTATAAGTATGCCATCTCTGTGAGGAAAGTTGTATATCCAGGGAGGCTAACAACTGAAATTATGCTTAAATATAGGCAGAAAACAGAAAGATACAGAGGCTTAATAGTCTGTGACCAAGTAAGTTAGACAGTAGAGTAAGGAAAGAGGAAAAGAGTTCAAGAAATTAGGAGCAGCTATTTTGTATTTGTTTTGTATTCTCAAAACCACAATGAGATATTAATTTACATCTGTTATTATAGATATTACCCAATAAGAAATTTTGATGAGGGAATGGACAAAAGGCCAGACTTGCACACTATTGCAAAGCCATATGGCCAATGCCATAAAGGTTTTCCAGAAGAACTAAATATAGAACTACCATGTGAACTAGCAATCCTACTCCTGGGTATGTCTCAAAATCATGTTCATTGCAGCATTATTCATAATAGTCTAGATATGAAAGCAATATAGAAACATAAAAATATTGTCTCCTCTCACATGTGTAATCTAAAAAAATCATATTAAGTGAAGTAAGCCAGACCCAAAGAAACAAAGGTCCCATGGTTTCTCTTATTTGCAATAATTAATATACATCTAGGATAATATTAGCAAATGAGCAGAATAGCTCAATAGCTAAGTACATATGACCATATGACACTAAGTGAAATGAACCCCAAGACATGGACACAAGAGATTTTTCTTTGTTATTGTTGTTTTTAATGTACTATGCGATTTTTTGTTTCTTTTGTATGTTCTTCCCCCTGTGTTATATCCCCTGTTGTCACTGAACTTGATTTTGGTATCTTGGTATTATATGTATGTTTATTTGAATAGAGAATGGAAGGGGACCAACAGAATGTGAGACAAAGGATAAGGGGAGACCAATGGAACAGCAATATATACAAGACAATTTGTTGGAAATGATCTGTGCAACTTTTGGGGGTGGGTAGTGGGGGGAGGGAAAGTAGGAGAAAAATGAGGGAAAGGGTAGCAAGTTTGACAAGAAATGTACTTATTACCTTACTTATGTAACTGTAACCTCTCTGTTACATCGCCTTGACAATAAAAAAAGGCAAACTCAGAGAAATGGAGTAGAGTGGTAATTACTAGTGACTAATGTATTGGTAACACTGAGGCAATGTTGGTCTAAGGACACAGGATTAGACAGGAGGATTAGACAGGAAGAATGTTTGAGAGCTCTATTATACAACAAGGAGACCACAATTAATAATGATTAATAATATTTTCTTAAAAATCACCAAGAATACAGATTTT